TATGGCCCAGGAGCTGGCGGAATGTCTACACCTGGAGTAGGAGGTATTTCCGGTGGACCTGGAGGTCTCGGCGGATCTGGTGGCCTTGCAGGAACAGGCGATGCTGGAGGACTTGGTGGAATGGGCGGTGTAGGACCCGGTGGTCCTGCTATCATGTACGGTCCCGGAGACGGAGGTGCAGGTGGAGGTTTTGGATCGGGAGCAGGTGGTGCAGCTGGAGGTGGATTTGGTGGTCCAGGTGGCCCTGGTGTACCAGGAGGACCGAGAGGACCTGGACGATTAGGTGCAGATGGTATGGGACCTGGTGCTGGTGGCTGGGGATCTGCTGCTGGTGGACCGTCAGGTGGACCTGGTGGAGTGACTGTTGTAGATAATATCTCTGTGAATGTTGGCGGTGCTGGAGGTGGAGGTGCCGGAACTGGTGGTGCCGGAGCTGGAGGTGCGGGAACCGGTGGTGCGGGAGGTTCACTTGGTGGAGGATTCGGAGGTCCAGGAGTTCCTGGCGGACACGATGGACTTGGAGGGCCTGGTTCTGGTGGTATGGCTGGACCAGGTTCAGGAGGACCTTCCGGTGGTTCTGGAATGATGTACGGTCCGGGAGCCGGAGGAGCAGGTGGAGGTTTGGGATCGGGAGCAGGTGGTGCAGCTGGAGGAGGATTTGGTGGTCCAGGTGGCCCTGGTGGACCAAAAGATCCGGGATTACCTGGAGGATTAGGTGCAGGTGGTATGGGACCTGGTGCTGGCGGATCGGGACCTGGTGCTGGTGGACCGTCAGGTGGAGGATTTGGTGGCCAAGGAGGACCAGGAGGACCTGGAGGTCCTGGAGGACCAGGCGCCCCGGGAGCAGGAGGTCCAGGAGGACTCTATGGCCCAGGAGCTGGCGTAATGTCGGGACCTGGAGCAGGAGGTATTTCCGATGGACCTGGAGCAGGAGGTATTTCTGGTGGACCTGTAGGTCTCGGCGGATCTGGTGGCCTTTCAGGACCAGGCGGTGCTGGAGGACTTGGTGGAATGGGCGGTGTAGGACCCGGTGGTTCTGCTATGATGTACGGTCCGGGAGCCGGAGGTGCAGGTGGAGATTTTGGATCGGGAGAAGGTGGTGCAACTGGAGGAGGATTTGGTGGCCCTGGCGGACCAGGTGGTCCGGGAGGATCTGGAGGATTTGGTGCAGTTGGTATGGGACCTGGTGCTGGTGGCTCGGGACCTGGTGCTGTTGGACCGTCTGGTGGACCTGGTGGAGTGACAGTTGTAGATAATATTTCTGTGAATGTTGGCAGTGCCGGAGGTGGTGGTGCCGGAACTGGTGGTGCCGGAGCTGGAGGTGCGGGAACCGGTGGTGCGGGAGGATCACTTGGTGGAGGATTCGGAGGTCCAAGAGGTCCTGGCGGACCCGGTGGACTTGGAGGACCTGGTGCCGGTGGTATGGCTTCAGGTTCAGGAGGTTCAGGAGTACCTTCCGGCGGTTCTGGAGTGATGTACGGTCCGGGAACCGGAGGTGCAGGTGGAGGCTTTGGATCGGGAGCAGGTGGTGCGGCTGGAGGAGGATTTGGTGGTCCAGGCGCCCCGGGAGCACCAGGTTCGCCAGGCGGATCGGGAGCAGGAGGTCCAGGAGGACTCTATGGCCCAGGAGCAGGCGGAATGTCTGGACCTGGAGCAGGAGGTATTTCCGGTGGACCTGGAGGTCTCGGCGGATCTGGTGGCCTTGCAGAACCAGGCGATGCTGGAGGATTTGGTGGAATGGGCGGTGTAGGACCCGGTGGTCCTGCTATCATGTACGGTCCCGGAGCCGGAGGTGCAGGTGGAGGTTTTGGATCGGGAGCAGGTGGTGCAGCTGGAGGTGGATTTGGTGGTCCAGATGGCCCTGGTGGTCCAGGAAGACCGAGAGGACCTGGACGATTAGGTGCAGGTGGTATGGGACCTGGTGCTGGTGGCTGGGGACCTGGTGCTGGTGGACCGTCAGGTGGACCTGGTGGAGTGACTGTTGTAGATAATATCTCTGTGAATGTTGGCGGTGCTGGAGGTGGAGGTCCCGGAACTGGTGGTGCCGGAGCTGGAGGTGCGGGAACCGGTGGTGCGGGAGGTTCACTTGGTGGAGGATTCGGAGGTCCAGGAGTTCCTGGTGGACACGATGGACTTGGAGGGCCTGGTTCTGGTGGTATGGCTGGACCAGGTACAGGAGGACCTTCCGGTGGTTCTGGAATGATGTACGGTCCGGGAGCCGGAGGAGCAGGTGGAGGTTTGGGATCGGGAGCAGGTGGTGCAGCTGGAGGAGGATTTGGTGGTCCAGGTGGCCCTGGTGGACCAGGAGATCCGGGATTACCTGGAGTATTAGGTGCAGGTGGTATGGGACCTGTTGCTGGCGGATCGGGACCTGGTGCTGGTGGGCCGTCAGGTGGAGGATTCGGTGGATTTGGTGGCCAAGGTGGACCAGGAGGACCTGGAGGTCCTGGAGGACCAGGCGCCCCGGGAGCACCAGGTTCGCCAGGCGGATCGGGAGCAGGAATTCCAGGAGGACTCTACGGCCCAGGACCTGGCGGAATGTCTGCACCTGGAGCAGGAGGTATTTCCGGTGGACCTGGAGGTCTCGTTGGACCTGGCGGCTTTGCAGGACCAGGAGGTGCCGAAGGACTTGGTGGAATGGGCGGTGTAGGACCCGGTGGTTCTGGAATGATGTACGGTCCGGGAGCCGGAGGTGCAGGTGGAGGTTTTGGATCGGGAGCAGGTGGACCTGGAAGATTAGTTGCAGGTGGTATGGGACCTGGTGCTGTTGGTTCGGGACCTGGTGCTGGTAGACCTTCAGGTGGACCTGGTGGAGTGACTGTTGTAGATAATCTCTCTGTAAATGTTGGAGGGGCAGGAGATGGTGGATTCGGAACGGGTGGTGCCAGAGCTGGTGGTGCTGGAACTGGTGGCGCGTTAGGATTTGGAAGGCCAGGTGGTTCTGGCGGACTAGGTGTAGGTGCTGGTGGCATTTCTGGTCCAGATTCAGGAGGACCTTCCGGTGGCTCTGGATTCTCTGGTCCAATAACTATTTCTGGAACACTGGTTGGAGGTGCTGGATCTGGAGGGGCCGGCCCTGGTGCTGGAGGTATATATGGATCAGGACCTGCTCCTTCTCCAAGTGGAGGATCTTCCGGTCCCCTAACTATTTCTGATAATATATCCATCACTGTAGGAAGTCCACCGTCATCTGCTGGTTTAGCCGGACCTGGATTCCAAGGACAGCCTATGGTATCCAGATTACCTTCCTTAGTGAATGGAATGCTCGGTTCTATGCAATCAAATGGATTTAATTACCAGAATTTTGGAAATCTTTTGTCGCAGTATTCTACTGGATCTGGAACCTGTAACAGTAATGATCTAAATCTCTTAATGGAAGCTCTTCAAGCAGCTCTTCATTGTCTTAGTTACCCAGGTCCTGCGTCGGTTCCTAGCATGCCTCCTCCATCGTCTACGTCTGAATACACGCAGTCTGTTCGAAGAGTATTTGGTTACTAAGCGCAAGCAGTTATAAAATTATATTAAAATATATTTGTTCCTATTTAAAATATAGCACGAGACTAATAAATATTTGTAGCATAGTTATTTGTTTTATTTTCTTTCATTCATCTTTAGAAATAAGTCTAATGTTTTCTTGTGTATTTTCTACAGAAAAGAGTCAAAATTTGAGATGGCACTACATTTACAAATAGGATACAGTTGTCTAAGATGTAAAACAGCTTTCAAATAATTTTAGGAAAAACAATATTATTTTTCACTTTAAGTAATAAACAATCACTTTAAGTAACAATTTATATATTGACAGTTTTTTTTTTATCAATATTAATGATTCGAATCTACGCATTATTGATAAAGACGCTGAAAATGGTTTAAAAGTAACTTTTTATTTGAAATTAACTTATTGTTTTTATTTCATTAGCATTCTTTTCAAATGCTTAACAGTTATTTCATAATCGCTTGTAGCAATTTAAGTGATTGAATTTGAATCAATCCGGCAAGAAATAGAAAAAAAAAAAAACATTAAACAATAATGCAGATTTGTGTATTAATGGCAATCTATCTATACCTTGCCAAGCACAGTTTGTGACAGATGGGCCTTATTGCTGCATATAAACCGCTGTAAAAACCGTTATTCTCGATTAAATATTTGTTTTCAGTTTTTTAACTCTTTTCAAAAGAAAACGTTATTTTTTAATACCCTCCATTTGAATCTCACAAACAAAATTTTATGAGTTGCCTGTTCATGGTGTTTTTTCTTTATTGTTTACGTCACTAGATAACTCTATTATTTTTAATAACTTGATTGAAATTAATGAATAATTGAAAGGAATACAAATGAATTCAATTGAACTGAATTGAAATGAATGAATAATTGAAAGGAATACAAATCAATTCAATTGAACTGAATTGAAATGAATGAATAATTGAAAGAAATACAAATCAATTCAATTGAACTGAATTGAAATGAATGAATAATTGAGAGGAACACAAATCAATTCGATTGAACTGAATTGAAACGAATTCATAACCATTTATTCGTTCTACTTCACATTATGATTCCTTCTTTAATGCGCACAGAAACTTCTCCTAATTTCCATGGCGATTTCTTGATTCTTTACTGCTGGAATCTGCTTTAATACAGCTTGCGTGTATATTTTATAATTAATAATCATTAAATACTTTATGCATGCGATTGCTATTCTTTTAATGGTATTTGTATGTTGTTTCTTATCCCACTTGGCTTTGGCCATGCCCACGAGCCCATACGTACTCATGATTGAAGGGAAGGAAGAAGCTTCTGTTGTGATGGAGCACCCATAGGTAGAAGTCTGACATTGGCTCCGTGACGCTAATACAGTCATAGGAGACCGAGACCTGCGGCTTAAAGTGGATTCCGAACCACTACAAACATCCCTGGCACCGCCGGGATTTTCGAACCCGAAACCTGTGGCACCGAGCGCCAAAACACTCGGCCATTCAGGTCTTATATTTGTGAATGCCAACGGCACGTGGTGCTTATATGTGGTCACCCACCCAATCTACTGACAGCGCCCGATGATGCTTGACTTCGGTGATCTAACGAGAACCGGTATATTCAGCATGGTATGGCCGTTGGTACTTGTATGGTTTTGATATTAGTTTACTGAATTCAAAATAGTAGTTGATTATTACCCTGATGTTTACAAATTTATTTCTTTGAATTACGAAAACAATAATACATTAAAATTTCAAATATTTTAACTACATGTTTTTCAGAGATAAAACTGTTTAATTTTCGGTTCCCGGAAACGCTGCGTCATATCTGCTATTTACTGGCAATGCTTTGAAAGTAGGCACTGTATAGAATACTTAGAGATAAACATGAACACATTATAAGAGATTCTATACAATGCCAAAATACAAAAATACTATCTCTAATGATATTTCTGATGCAACCATGTGATTTTAGAACAGGCATATGATTTTAGAAATGGCGCTTAACAAGTGTCATTCAGAAATAACGATAGTTACTCTGAATTTGTTCAGCAATACCATACTATGGCGTAACAAGATGTATATTGGTATACTACTGTGCCCAAAAAGTAAGGCCAATTATTTGGTTTTCAAAAACTCGTTATTTATTCTTCCAAATTTATTTCATCGCCTTCAAAGTAATCCCCTCCGAACCCAATGCACTCATGCCAACTTTTTCCAATCCTCAATGTATGCTAAAAAGTCATCGCCAGGCATGGCCTTCAAAGTGCGAGGCAATTCACGTTGAATCTCTTCAATCTACTCAAAACAGTGTCCCCGGAGTGGTCTTTTTGAGTTTAAGGAATAGCCAGAAATCGCACGTGAATACGGTGGTTGTGGAACGATATGGGTTTCATTTTAGGAGAAAGGGTCACAAAGAATCAATGCAGTCTGAGCTGGAGCATTCAGTGTTTTTCGGTACCAATCCAGATTTGACGTTTGAGGCCCAAAAGGGAATTGACATCCTTTGAAATTCCAACATCATCAGCAAGGTCTCTAATTGTAAATTAACAGTTTGCAAGCGATCTTTAATTTTTTGGAGGTTAGCTTCGTCGGTTGGGGTTGATGGTCGGCCAGAGGGCTCTTCGTTTTCAGCGTTCTCTGCCTTCTTTGAACTGTTTGTACCACTTCTAAACATTACTTTCTGATTTAGGAATGCTCACCGAATGCCTTTTGCATCATTCTATACATTTCCGTAAACAAAGTTAAATGCGAATTCTTTACTCAATTAATTCAGGCTTTTCAAAAATCGTCGGAATCATTTTCAGCGTCTCACAAAGCCAAGCGTAACTCAAACACTAATGAATATTTTGACATCAGATTTCACACAGATGGCAAGGACAGTGCCAGCAACATAAAAAAGAAGAAAAATTGAAATTCCATAAGCCCATAACAGAATTTTTAATTGAAAATTGGTCTTATATTTTGGATACAGTAGTATTTATATATAATGAACGAGATATATATTATGACGTTTGCTCTTTTATATTTAGGATAACATGAAACAACATTTATTTATATTATCATTATTATACAACACTAATTTAATATATTTATACGCTTTTTTTGTAAAAAAAAGTGTTTTCTTACCAAAACTGTTGACAAAAATTAGTAAGCGATATAAAAGGGCTAACATTACTACAGACAAGGAACTAGTGGATGATTTTCTTCTAAAACACTGTCATATGATGGCAGTTTAAATCAAATGTAAATTATAACACATTATTCCAAGTCACTGCTAATGGGACATTACATCCAGTTTTGAACGGGACTGTCCAATATCAACAAGAGGAACCAATCTTCTACAGGTTTGGTTTGGTTTTGTCGCTCTACGGTCATCTTGTTCACAATTTAAGCTAAGCAGACCGTGACCTACAGTTTAAAGTGGATTCCGAACCACTACAAATATCCACGGCAACGCCGGGACTCGAACCCGAAACCTGTGGTACCGAGGTCCAAAGCGCTAGTCACGATTCTATTTGCGAAGTTACCACAATTCAAGCGTTTCTGATAACAACAATTTTTTCTAACATAAAGAAATAATTGCATTAATGCCAGTGAAAAACCAAACTGTTGACATATTCAAACAACTTTCAGAGTTTTAAATCTTTTAAACGATTACACTGTTTTTATGCTTTAATTCAAACAACAATAGAATAAATAGAAATATTTATCAACATGTGCAAATGTCTGCATTTAAAATCCATTTCAATCAGAAAGGGTAGCTTTTGTTTTATACTGTATTTACTGTAAGATAATAGAGAGTTTTTGCATAACGTTTTTATCGCCCGATATTTTTTTCTAACTAGCGCGCATGCTCATAGGGAAGCATTGTGCTATTGCGCATGCATATTTGTAATAATGTTTCCTTTGAGCATGCGCGCTAGGGAGAAAAAATATCGGTCGATAAAAAAAACGTTGTGCAAAACTCTAATGTCTCTTTATATCCCCAATCAAATGATTTTTCTAAAGTTTGCTTGCTAATCATCGAACACGTCTGCTCAATGATTAGCAAAACTAGGACATCACACTGCAGATGCTACAGATATTCTTATGAATATGATATTCTTATAAACTTTTTTCAGTTATTACTTATTAACAGTTATTACTTACTTTTCAGTTATTACTTAACTTATTCAGTTACATTAGTAATGCTGTCTCTTTTTAAATGATTATAAAATAAACTTTTAATTAAATAGAATAAAAGAGCACATAAAATCTGAATTGTGACCTGCATAAATAAAAACATAGTTTTAATGATATCAATTAAGAAATTTTTATATGTATTTCTACAAAAATAATGGACTATAATTTGATTTTTTTGTATTTCACGTATACAGGAAAAATTGAGCCATTTGTTTATATTTTTGTATAATGAATAAACATACAAAAAGTGAACATAATATACTAGGTAATCAGATACATCCAAAATAATATGATTAAATATGCTACAGTCCTTGCCATTTTTTCTTGTAGTCCATTGAAATATTTATTTTCATTACAAAAAATAATGTTTTTTAATGATGGTATATAGCCGTTTTTTTATAATAACTTTAAAAATGGCAATGCAGGAGTGCATAAAGGGGGAGGCAGCATGGTAGGCTTAAACCCCTTCCAAAACCCATAATTAAAAAATGTAAACATGTTGAAACTTACGGCAACTTTCCACTTATGCCCAAATGTTTTTTATTAAATATTTAGTATTTCAATGAATCATTTTTATTACCAGTGTCAATTTTATATCACTTGTAAATTTGTTGATTGAGGAGCTTGATTGATTACCTGCTTTAGTTTTATTAAATATTCATCAAAATATTGCCGTTGAAGTAAAGTAATCCATTAACTAGCAAAAGAGTAAAAAAGAATATACTATTAATTTATAATTTAGGTAATTTTTTTAGAAATTATTATTATTATTATTTTTTTTTTTTTGCAATATACCAAATGAAAGCAATGTAAAAATTATTTATAAAATAATTAGTATATGAAATTTCGATGTATTTATGATTTAATATACGATATTTTGATTTTTTGTTACGTGTAGTTTAGTATGACTAATTGAGTTTTCATAAACAGTTACACTTTAGTTTATTGAGAAAATACAAGAGTTTTGTCAACAGTTGTTGACTTTATCCATATTCGCCCGTTAACGACAATGGCGATTTCATATGGTACAGATCCCAATCGTTTTAAATCGCAGTTAGTCCGTCAAAATTGAATTTAAGAACTAGTATCAGTCATAAAATTTGAATATTAAATCCACTATCGCGGTTACTTTTATAAGTATTAAGGAAAATAAATCTGTGATAAAATTTGCAACAAAATATTTTTTATTATGCTTTTGGATTGGTATGGACATGGCCATTTTATATAATGCTTGGTACACATATTTGCTTAGGAAGTACTTAACATAGTGACATCCAGAATCCAAATTCGTGTTAATAATGTGTCCAAAAAGTACGACCAATTTTCAATTTGAAATTCGCGGGGCTTATGGAGTTTCAATTTATTTTTATTTTTCGGTTGCTAGCACTGTCCTCGACATCTGTGGGAAATTTCACGTCGAAATATTCATTGGTGTTTGAGTTACGCTTGGCTTTGTGAGACGCTCAAACTGATCCCGGCGATTTTTGAAAATGTCTGAATTCATTGAGCAAAGGACTTTTCAATTTCCTTTGCGGAACCATACGATTGCGGAGAATTCGGCAAAAGTAATCTAAAAATATAGGAAATTATTTTTAATCAATATGTATAAAACAATAAGTAATATAATTGAAGAGATTGAATCACATTGAATAACTATTAAAAAGTTTGAAGTGTATATTTGATCAATTTATTTGCCTACTTAATTATTTTCAATAAAAAAATAAATGATTTGATATTAGCAGAACAAGAATATTGTTAAAACAATGAAAAAAAGTTTTGAATATTTTACTTTCTGTAAACTGACGAAAATAGAAAAGAATATAACAGAGATTTTCATAATGTTCCCTTCTTTTATTTAAAATCTTTAAACAGGATTTCATGTTTCGAGAAAATTTAACGATAAAGTTTTGAAATAAGCAAAGATATTTTTATGTATGCTAATTTATCATGTGCATTTGTTTTTGAAGCTAATATTAACAGTGATTTTTTTCAAAATTTAACAAAGATTATTACAATCACAATTAATCCTAATAATATAATTTAATATTATTACAAAATATATTTTAGGAAAGTTTTAATATTTTTTTTATAAATTCATCTGCATGTGTTTAAAAACATAATTTTCTAAAAATAATGTTAAAAATGCATCCAAATCAATGAATTTCAGATTCTAAAGACATTTAAGATATTCTATTCTATTAAAGACATTCTAATAACATTAAAGATAAACAATATTTGATACAAATCATTATAAAACAATATAGTATAATATTAAAAATAAAAATAAAGTTTAAACAAAATTACATTTATTAACCCAAATTTTACCTTCTACAATAATCTAATGATACATTTAAAAAATAACCATCAGGTGGAGCAACTCCATATCCTACATGTTTCCATAACTATTCACACAAACAAGCTCAGGTTCAGCATCTTTGCTAGCAGTCAAAGTCT